TACAAAGAGGCAGAGACAGAGAGAGAGGTCTTCCATCTGATGGTTCACTCCCCAATTGGCTGCAATGGCTGGAGTTGTGCAGATCTGAAGCCAGGAGCCAGGAGCTTCTTCCAAGTCTCCCACATGGGTGCAGGGGCCCAAGGAGTTGGGCCATCTTCCACTGCATTCCCGGGCCATAGCAGAGAGCTGGATTGAAAGAAGAGCAGCCAGAACTAGAACCGGCGCCCATATGGGATGCCAGCACTTCAGGCCAGGGCATTAACCCGCTGAGCCACAGCGCCAGCCCCCATCCCTGCTCTTAAAGGATTCACAGGTTTTAGGCAAGATAAATATCCAGTGAGGTGCATAACAATATAATAGGGTAAGTATTATGGCAGTTATTATAGTGTGCATTTGAAGTCGTGAAGAAAGCAACACAAAGGGGGTGGTAGTTATGAGTAGAAGTTTACCAAGCACAGAAGAGTAAGGAAGCATTTCAGACAAAATGAACAGGATGAATAAAGACACAAAAATGTGAAAGGGCATGGAATGTTAAAAGAGAAATAAAAACTTCAAGAGAGCAAAATATATATAAGTGGCAGAGAGAGAGATGAGACTATATATTTCTTGTGGGGGCTTGATTGAGAAAATCCTTGAATGCTAATTTAGATCTCATCTTTTAGCAAGGAGGAGCTACAGAAAGGTTATAAGTAGGCTAATGGATTAATCAGATACATTTTTCTAGAAAGATAGTTGTCAAGAGGAGGATGAGTAGAAACAGAGAAAGACCAGCTAAAGTATTGAATAACCCAGATGAGAAATATGAGGTGGGGCTGGCACTGTGGCCACCGCCTGCAGTCCCATGTCGACACTAGTTTGAGTCCTGGCTGCCCCACTTTCAATCCAGCTCCCTGCTAATGTGCCTGGGGAAGCAACAGAGAATGGCCCAAGTCCTTGAGCCCCTGCACCCACGTGGGATACCTAGAGGAAGCTCCTGGGTCCTAGCTTTGGATCGGCCCAGCTCCAGCTTTGTGGACATCTGAGGAATGAACAGTGGAGGGAAGACCTCTCTCTCTGTGTCTCTTCCTTTCTGTAACTCTGTCTTTCAAATAAATAAAATAAATCTTTATAAAAAAAAGTAGAATAATCAGGTCTGAAACTGGTACCCAAGAAGGTTTAACCTGCTGTGCCACAACACGGGCCTCAAGGGATATTTATAAAGCACTTTTGTTGACTATTTTGGTATGGGTAATGAAAAAAAGTATGAGTTGAGGATGCCATTGACATTTCTATTTGAGAAATTAGGTAGGTAGATGGTGATGCCAGTCACTGTACTCAGTGATTAATAAATTATTTCAAAATAAATATTGAAAGAATGAAATTACAGTGTGAAAAGCATTCCTATGAGTGAAATGACCCAGGATTCTGGTTCTAACTCTGTCATTAACTTGTCAGATAATCTTAGGCAAATAGTTTAACCTCTCTGGCCCTCAGTTCCTCATCTTTAACAGTGACTTTTTTTTAAGGTTGATTTTACTTATATGAAAGGCAGAGTTATGGGGTGGAGGGAGAGAGACAAAGAGAGAAGGTTCTTCTATCTGCTGGTTCACTCCCCAAAGGACCTCAACATCCAGGACTGGACCAGGCCAAAGCCAAGAGCCTGGAATTACATCTGGGTCTCCCATGTGAGTGGCAGGGGTCCCAGTACTTGGACCATCCTCTGCTGCTTTCCCAGGCACATTAGCAGGGAGCTAGATCAGAACTGGAGCAGCTGGGACTCAAGCAAGCACTCATAGATGCTGGCATTGTGGGCAGCAGCTTAACCTGTCACAACACCAGCCCCAACAGTGATTCTTAAAAGGGGTCCACAAGATCAAAACTATTTTCATAGTAATAATAAGACATTATTAACCTTTTTCATTCTCATGATATTCTGAGTGCACAGTGATTTTCAGGGGCAGCATGATGTGTAATATTGTAATAGATTGTAGAAGCAAACACAGCAATCCTGTTATCTTCTTAGACATTAAAGTTATTTGTAAAAATTCAAAACATTGGGGCCAGTGCTGTGGCATACTGGGTATAGCTGCCACCTGAAGTGCTGGCATCCCTATGGGTGCCAGTTCGAATCCCAACTGCTTGCCTGGGAAAACAGTGGAAGATGGCCCAAGTCCTTGGGCCCCTGCACCCACATGGGAGACCTGGAAGAAGCTCCTAGCTCCTGGCTTCAGATTGGCTGAACCCTGGTCATTGCACCCATTTGGGGAATGAACCAGTGGATGGAAGACCTCTCTTTCTCTCTTTCTGCCTCTCTATAACTCTGCCTGTCAAACAAATAATCTTTTTTAAAAAATTCAAAACATTGCTTCTCGCTACATTTTTTGTTTTGTTTTGGAAAAATATAGTGATTTTCATTAAAATATGTATATTAACATTTAATGGGGAGGTTAGCACTGTGGCGTAGTGGGTTAAGCTGCTGCCTGCCGTGCCAGCATCCCATATGGGTGCTGCTTCGATTCTTGGCTGCTTCGCTTCCGATCCAGCTCCCTGCTAATGTGCCTAGGAAGCAGTGAAAAATGGTCCAAATGCTTGGGTTCCTATACCTACATGGGAGACCTGGATGAAACTTCTGGCTCCTGGCCTTCTGGCTCCTGGCTTCAGTCTGGCCCGGCTCCAGGCATTGTGGCCATTTGTGGAGTAAACCAGCAGATGGAAGATCTCTCTCTTGATCTCTCTCTCTCTCTCTCTGTAACTACCTTTCAAATAAAAAAGTAAATCTTTTAAAAAATGTAAAGGGTTCATTATTTTTAAATAAATACTTAATAATTTTATAATATTTTAAATACTAACAGCTTCTAAATAAATAAAAGCTTTTTTTTTCTATAATTTTTAAAAGGTAAAGAGACCCTAAAGCCAAAAAAGGTAAAAGCTGCTGATCTGTAAAATAGAAGTGATTTCAGCCCTTTGTACTTGGGCATGGTTGTTTTGGGGCCAGATACGATTCTATACAATCACTTTAAAAAGCTTGAGCTGCTACGTGAGATCAGTCATTATTACCATCATTAATTTTGGTGCCTTTTTTTAAAAGATGGAACAGATTAAGCGTGCAAACCGCCTTTATACAAATGACTCCATCTTCCTGAAGAAAACCCTCTACATCCCCATCCTGACAGAGCCCAGAGACCTGTTCAATGGTTTGGATTCTGAGGAAGAGAAGGATGGAGAGGAAGATGTACACCCAAATAAGGATGACGTCTGGCCACACCCAGCTGAGAGGAAGAAACAAGAGACAGGTGCAGGACGTGCCAATGGTGAAGTCCTCCCCACACCCACCCAGGACCTCTCTGCCTCTGACTTCCTTAAGAAGCTGGATTCACAGATCAGCCTGTCAAAGAAAGCTGCTGCTCAGAAGCTGAAAACGAGGGAAAGCAGGTGAGTCTCACGTGGTTCCTGGGAGTTCTCCCAGAGACTCCGTCTTGCCCAGCCGCTGGTACGAATAAGTAAGCACAGCACCCACAGAAACAAGGTGACCCTTTCTGCCAGGTGGCCCCAAGACCAGAAGCAGAGCCAGTGGCTGCTGGAGTGGGTAGAGGCAACAGGAAAGTGGGTTCTGTGTTCTCTTTGGAGTAAGACAGGTGACGCTTTCTGGTGATTCGTGAAGGAGCGTTAGGGTTGATTTATCACAGAGTATTGAGTCTTCACCCTAGAAGCAACCCGTTCAGCTATTAGGTGAGGAAGATGGCTTCCCCTGTTCCTCTCACTTGGCCCATTTGCAGGTTCTTCCCTTGACCTGGCATTCTCTCCCCTACAGGGTACCTGGGGAGGATGCAGGCCTCCATCTGAACTCCCCTCGGATGCAACAACGAGCAGTCCTAGGTCCTGTGCCACTGACCCGGACCTCTCGGACCCAGACACTACGGGACCAGGAGGATGAAATCTTCAAGCTCTGATGTCCCCAGAACTGGTTGAGAGAAGCAGTGTGTTGAAGGAGCAACTTGAGGGGGAGAGGAGCCTGAGGTGAGGCTCAAGAACATGGCTTCCCAGCTCGCCTCTCAACTCCTGCCACCTTCCCCAGCCCCCTTGCCTATCAAGAGTTCGTTGACCTGGGGCATTTTTATTGGCAAGAGTAGGGGGTGGGTACTAGACCTCTTCCTGGTTCTTGGGCTGAACCTAGACTTGTCCCTTAGATTCAAAAGGCTCCTTTTACACCCTTGCTGCCTTCCCTACCCGGTTACCATTCCCTGTCGTTAGAGCAGGGAAGCAGAGACTCCCCCTCAACTTCCTCCTATCTCCAGTGATGTCACATAAGTTATTTGGTGCTATATTCAAGTAATATTTATTTGTTTTATCTTATTCCTTCCCATTGTTAGCTGACAAGTGAGATTTTGGTAGCCCCTTGGTGGGGGACGTCTGTGAACAGTGAGCCAGTGACTGCTGGCTCCCCACCTCCTTAGTCAACCATGTTCCTGGGACTGGGGCAGCCAGTGAACTAGTGCTGCCGCCAAGAATGGCAGGCTGTGCCGGGCCTTCTCCCCACTGGCAAAGGACTTACGCTCAGTCTTGACTGAGCAGCTCCCCGTAACTTTCACAACTCTCACTCTGAGGAAAAGCAGAGTGGAGGGAGGGGCCTGAACTCTCCATTCCACCAGTTCACCTTTCTGATGTGTTCCTCTCCTCAGCCTGTCCTGGGGCTGAGAGATGGAAGAAGGAACGACGGGGTTTGAAGAGGGGAACAGCTGGGGGAGTCTCTTTGTTATGCCCCTTCCCCAGTAGAGCCCACATGTCTATCCCTTGCTCCTCACTGCATAGTTATTTGCAATTTGTAGCACTGATCTGCAGTACAGTTTGTTTGTTTCTTAAACAGAAGAAGTAGGCAAGGGTACCCCAGTGATGCTGGAAAATATGCCTCAGTCTCCTGTATGGAAATGGTAAGAGGTGAGATAAGTGGTGTTTACATCCCTCCTTTCCTGTGCTGATCACAAGGTCTAAGAAGCTGGAGATATTAAACATTGAGCCCTGTGCATGTTCTAGTAGTTTTATTTCCCCTCCCTGTGAAAGTCTCCCCTGCCCTAGCCCGCTTTCTTGCACTTTGAACAGAGCTTCTGGAATCTTCCTAGTTGGAGGATGAGGAAGTCTCTAAAGATCACCCTCTCCCTTCTGTTTTTAGTGTCCCCAGAGGGGATACATAGGCTGTGCCCCCTTCCCCTGAGTCATAGGCTTGGGGGCTTCCCTGTTTCAGATGTCCCTTATTGGAGAAATAGAGACCCAAGTTTCACTTCACCTTTTTCAGGCAGCTTTGTTTCTTCTCCAGGGGCTGGAGAGGGAGAGAGACCTCACCCTTCAGCATTGCTCCTTCTCCAACAGCTTGAGAGTGAAATGTTCTCTGAGTCAAAAACACTCTGGGGAAAGAATGAAGCCTGAGGATTGAGAAGCATTAGTGCCGAGGAGCAGGGTTAGCAAGCCCTTTGTCTGTTCTCTCAGTCAGCCATTTTGCCCAGGTGGAAGTCGCTAGGGTGAGGACTCTCAGAGCTTCCCCTCCTCCAGCAGCTTCCTGAGCCCATCACAGATCTTGCCAAGGTGCTGAGTGAAGTCAGGGCCATAGAGGGCAGTGAGGAGGCCTGGGTCAGAGAAGTGATCGAACACGTGGCGGATGCGGCCATGTGACTTGGGCGTGAGATGGTTCTCTACCAGCTCCAGCAGCACATCCCGGCACTCAGTCAGCAGGCCAGCCAGCACAGCGGCCTCAAAGGTGAAGTCCACCTCGCCAAAGCTAAGGGCCGTCATGGCACCCTGCCTCAGCTTCTGGCGAAAGCGGGTAGCCAGGGCCAGCTCACTGGGGCCAAAGCAGCCACTGCGGTGCAGCACGGCCACCTTGACAGCCACCTTGATGAGGTCCTTGATGACTCGCTGGGCCTGGGGCCGGCTGTGTGTGTACTCTTTGGACACACGGTAGAGCTCATCCAGCACCTCGCTGCTTGTCTCATCGATGAAGAGATGAGCTGCAGACCGGCCCACCATCTTACTCAGTAGCTTCTTCTCTGCTTGCAGTGCCAAACTCTTTGAGCTGAAGGACTCCATGGTTCCTGGGGGGTGGGGTATGTGACCAGTCACTAGAAGAAAGGCCACAAGCTTCCTTAGAAACAGAGAAATGGCTTTTCCCCTTTCTGTTGCTTCTTTGGTTTCTGTCTCATCATCATCTTTGTCAACTTTCCCCCGCAGGCCCGCTCAGTGCTCTGTCTTGCTGCTGCCTGGGTCCTCTAGTGCTGTAGGAAATCTTGCTCTCCACAGTAGCGCAAGCAGCAATGACAGCTGTGGCTAGAGGAATATGGGCACACAGGAGGCTGGCCTACCACGAGGGGTAGGAGGCTGCCACAGTGCAGAAGAGAGGGCCTCACAGCTACCATTTCTGCACACAGAATGTATACCCTACATCTATGATAGTATAGAAATTACTATCCTTATTTTACAGTTCAGCAAACTGTATCTTAGGTCAAATAATTTACCTTTGATCAAACACAACTGTTTTTCTGACTCCAAAAACCTATGTCAGCTACAGTGCTGTACTGCCTTAAAGAAGTAAGACACATATTCATGGGTGTCAAATGTCCTAATCACTGACATTTGCTGAGAGCCACTGTGAGCCAAGTGCTTTATATGCATTATGTGTCTCCCCAATCCTCTGTAAGGTAGATAATCCCATTCTGCAATGAGAAAACTGAAGCTAAGCAAAATTAAACAACTTGGCCAAAGATACTAGTAAATGATAGCAATGGCCTTCAAATCAAACAATCTGAAGAAATCTCTTACCCAGAATGCTCTCGGTGATGTTGGCACACACTGAGGAAGTGGGAGAAACAAGTGGTCTAAGGTCTTCTGCTGGGCTGAACCCAGGACCCGCCTGGCAGCGTAGCTGCTGCGCATGCCCATGGTTCTCGCCCCGTGGTCTTTGCCTGAGGTTCCTCTGGTTGTTTTGCTTCTTACTTCCCCCTCCCCTGCCCTGCAGGATGTGGCTGTGACCGCAGTGAGGAGCAGCCTCGCCCTCTCCCCCAAACCAAAATAGGAGCCAGAAGAGGCAGGGGAGAGATGACATGGTGGGGTTCTTCCCCACCTGACTGACTCCAGTGGGAAGCTGGAGCCTTGCTTTGTCCAGCTCGCCTAGGACTTTTGGGGCCACGTTCCACGGCCGGAAGAGGAGATTGCTCCATGGGAGCTTTCCTTCCTCCTTGGCCTTCCTGTTACCCAGCTCTCCCCTGTCCTGTTGCTATCTCGTGTTTGGTTCACTGTCCTCTCTCTGCCTCCTGTTTCAGTCTCCCTTTTTCTATCATCCGAGTCCTCCCTGTGATCCTCTGGCTTGGCCTTGCTCTCCCACTGCTCCTGACTCCTCTAGCTCCATGTTGCCTAAGAGTCCCTTACATCTCTGAGCACTCTGTCACTGACCCACATCCACATGTCTCTTAGCCCTGCCCACCATCCCCATCCCAGATGAAATCTTTGTTGTAGAAGCTGCTTAGCCCCAGGGAAAACCAAGCTGTACTGGGAACCCACGACTTCTACAAGTGAAAGATTCACAAAATGGAAAGCTAAGGCAGAAAGAGCCAGAAGTCTTCTGCCACCATCACCCTTAAAACCTACCCTTCTGTCTTTGTCGGCCCCTCACCTGCTGTCCTTTGGGTGCCAGTCTTGCCTTGGATGTTCCCGGAGAGCACACAGAATGGAGAAGCTTCTAAGTGAGAGGCCCTTTGGCCAGGCCCCACCCCTTAGGCCCCGCCTACCTACTCTGCTCAACCTCCGGTTCATCACTGCTGTCACCCAAGGTCTGTGGCCCAAGAACACCCTAGAAATAAGACAAAGGTCGAAAGGAGTGGAATTTAGTAGGAAAAAGTCTTGATTCTTTGAGACGGGGAGGAGGGATTACACATCCCCTGTTCCCAAATTGTTTCTTTCCTTCATGCCTTGTTCCTCGAGATCCTGTTCTTGTATTTTTGTGGTCCTGGGAAAACATAAATTTCATATTTCCGGAGTGTGGTTCAGTGAACAAAGTTCTGAAGATTTAAAGGTGGTGCTGTGGGGTAACGTTAGCATAAGCATCTTCTTTCAGTGGCTGGCAGGGAAGGATTGCATGGACAGCCCCAGCCCTGGAGAAAGGAACATACCATCAGCAGGGCTGATGAGCCGTATGTGACCAGCAGATGTCAGCACAGCACCAGATCACTAGCTTTGCAGCTGCTAAACTAAAAGGATTTTAAATGAGACTAAGTCTGTAATTGAGTGAGGAAGAAATACTCATATTTACTATCCAAAATCTGACAGGATGGCCAGGGATAAGCACAGATAAGTGTAATACATGTCAAATGATGTCATTAACTCTAACAGAGGCTTAAAAAATTATGAGGGGCTTGGCATGGCACCACTAGTTAAGCTACTGCTTATAATGCCAGCATCCCATGTCAGAGTGCCTCTTTCCTTTTTAAAATATATATTTATTTATTTGAAAGGCAGAGTTAGACATAAAGAGGGAGCCAGAGAGATCTTCCATCCACTGGCTCACTCCCTGATGGCTCTAGTGGCAGTGGTTGGGCAAAACTGAAGCCAGGATCCAGGAACTCCCTCCAGAGTCTCCCATGTGGGTAGCAGGGAGCCAAGCACTTGGGCCATCTTCTGCTGCTTTCCCAGGTGCATTAGTAGGGAGCTGGACTGAAGTGGAGCAGCCAGGAGTTGAACAGGTAATCATATGGAATGCTGGCATCATATCACAGGCGTGGCCTAACCTGCTGTGCCACAACACCACCTCTTCTCTCTCTCTCTTTCTCCCCCCACCCCGTCTCTGCCTAACTCTGCCTTTCAAATAAAGAAATAAATCTTAAAAAAAAAAAAAAAGGGCTAGATATGGGGAAGAAATGCTTCCAGATGATGAGAGCAGCACAAACACATCCAAGGGATAAAACAAATACAAGACATTTTCAGGAACAGGTGCTTTCATTCTGGGTATCTAGAGCATAGGTTGAGAAGAAAAAAGTGAAAGAGGAGCAGGACCAGATCATGGTGGCTTTAAAAAAGTCACTCAAGAATTCAGACTTGCTATAGACAGTGGGGAGACATTGTAGGTGACTGATCATGGGAATGAAGCACTTAGCTCAGTGGAAAAGTATTGAGCTGAGGAAAGAAAGTTTTTTGTTGTTGTTGGTTTGTTTTTTAATTTAAGGGGGAGAGAGAGCTCCCATATGCTGGTTCACTCCCCAAATGCCCACAATAGCCAAACCCTAGAGCTGGGGGCTAAATCCAGCTCCCTCGTGTGGGACAAGGAACCCAACCACTTGAGCCATTGTTGATGCCTCCCATGGTCCACGCCAGCAGAAAGCTAGAATCTTGGACCAGAGCCAGGGCTTAAACTCAGGCACTGTGATCTGGGACACTGGTGCCTTAACTGCTAAGCCAGATGCCTGCCCTCAAAAGGGCACAGGCTGAGGATCATCAAAGACAGTGGATTTGGTAATTTTACAAGAAGTTCTAAGAGGAAGGGGAAAACTGGAAAGATGGGTGGTTGTGAAAAGCTGGAGAGTAAGCTGAAGTCAGACGTAGAGGTGGTTATGGGTTCTCCTCCTTGGAGGCAGTGATTGGGTCTTGGCTGCTTTCTCATCATCACTCCCAAGGTCCAGATCACTGATCGCACACTGGAGACGATACTAGGTGATCCTACCAAAATCGCAGGAAAAGTAAGTGTTTTGCAAGAAGGTTATAATCTAGTTGGAAAATAAGAATAAGGGGGATTAAAATGCAGGAGGCAAATACATAATATCTTCTAAATTCAGAATTCTGCTTATCTTTCTCTTTTTTATGTTTATTATTATTATTATTATTGACAGGCAGAGTGGACAGTGAGAGAGAGAGACAGAGAGAAAGGTCTTCCATTTACCATTGGTTCACCCTCCAGTGGCTGCCGCTGCCGGCGCACTGTGGCCGGCACAGCGCACTGATCCAAAGCCAGGAGCCAGGTGCTTCTCCTGGTCTCCCATGGGGTGCAGGGCCCAAGCACTTGGGCCATCCTCCACTGCACTCCCGGGCCACAGCAGAGAGCTGGCCTGGAAGAGGGGCAACCAGGACAGAATCCGGCGCCCTGACCGGGATTAGAACCTGGTGTGCCGTCACTGCAGGCAGAGGATTAGCTTATTGAGCTGCGGCGCCGGGCCTGTGTTTATGATTTTTAAGATTTATTTTATTTATTTAGAATGCAAAGTTAGAGAGAGAGAGAGATCTTTCATCTATTGTTTCACTCCCCAGATGACTGCAATGGCCAGGACTGAGCCAGGCCAAAGCCAGGAGCCAGTAGTTTCTTCTGGGTCTCCCATGTGGGTGCGGGGCCCCAAGCACTTGGGCCATCCTCTGCTGCTTTCCCAGGTGCATTAGCAAGCAGCTAGATAGCAAGTGGAGCAGCCAGGGCTTGAACTGGCCCCCATATGGGATGCCAGCATTGTAGGTGGCAGCTTAACATACTGCGCCACAATATCAGCCTCTATGTTTATTTATTTTAATCTACTTGAAAGTCAGAGCTAGAGGGCCAGTGCCATGGCTCACTTGGCTAATCCTCTGCCTGTGGCACCGGAATCCCATATGGGCTCCGGGTTCTAGTCCCGGTTGCTCCTCTTCCAGTCCAGCTCTCTGCTGTGGCCTGGGAAGGCAGTGGAGGATGGCCCAAGTGCTTGGGCTCCTGCACCCACGTGGGAGACCAGGAAGAAGCACCTGGCTCCTGGCTTTGGATTGGCGTAGCTCCGACCGTGGCGGCCATTTGGGGGGTTGAACCAATGGAAGGAAGACCTTTCTCTGTCTCTCCCTCTCACTGTCTGTAACTCTACCTGTCAAATAAATAAACAAAAAATCTTAAAAAAAAAAAAAAAAAAGAAAGAAAGAAAAAAGTCAGAGCTAGAAAGTTCTTCCTTCTGCTGGTTCACTCCCCAAATGACCACAATGATTGATGCTGGGTCTTGCCAAAAGCAGGAGCCCAGAACTCCATCCAGTCTCCCACGTGAGTGGCAGGGGCCTAAGCTGCCTCCCAGGATGCATTAACAGGAAGCTGGTTGGGCATCCCAGCAGTGCCTTAATCCACTGCACCATGACACCTGCCCCGGCTTCAACTCTTGTCTGTCCCTTGTACTCTGCTCTTGCCATGTTGGAATTCTCTGTTTCTCCAGTATGCATTGTGTGGCTCCTCCTTCCCTCAGCCCCTTCCTCTACCTGTTCCTCTGCCCTAGACCTTTCCTGTTCTTATGCCGCTGCCTGGAACTCTGTTTTCAGACAAACCTCTTTGCCCTCTGAATTCTTCCTCATCCTTCGGGTTCCAGCTGGAAAGTCCTATCTTAAATGAAGCTGTCCATGACCCTCCAAGCCACATGTCATGTAGTCCTATGGAATCACTTAGCTCCTCTACTGGAATTATCACTTCTCAGTGTCTTTTGTGATTTCTTGTTCATTGCCTTCATACTAGACTGGAAACTCCATGAGGGCAGAGATCATGTTAGAGCCTGCACAGTGCCCAGCACAAACTCTGCTCAATAAATATTTGCTGAAAAAAATTCAAAACACACCCAAGAGTCAGGAGATAAGGGGAAAATGGCAACAGGATATCAGTCACATACACTGTTCATTTAATTCACTCATGGAGAAGTCTGTCTTTTATTTTCTTGTAATCTATGCTAATTTCTAGTAATCTCTGAACCCATAGCATTTAATTAGCAGCAAATTAAAAGAGCAATGAGGAGCTTTTAGAAGAAGGAACACTGATAATAAGAACAGCAGCAAAACACTAGGAAAATAAAAAGCAGACAATTTGAGAGCTGCAAGATTTTTTGGCCTTGTAAAGGAGGCACAAGCAATATTCATTACATATATTCTAGGCTTTAGGGTTCTTACTGTTTTCCTTGATCACTGCCCCTGCCTCTCTCTTTCTAAGGATTTATGTATTCATTTGAAAGGATGACAGAAGGGAAAGATCTCCCATCCGCTGGTTCACTATCCGAATGCCTACAACATTCAGAACTGCGCCAAGCCAAGCCCAGGAGTCCATCCAGTCTTCCACACAGGTAGCAGGAACCCAAATATTTGGGCCATCGTCTGTTGCCTCCCAGACCCGTTAGCAGGAAGCTGGGTTGAAAACAGAGGCAGGGCCGGCGCTGTGGCACAGCGAGTAAAGCCACTGCCAGCAGTGCCGGCATCCCATATGGGCTCCAGTTCTAGTCCCTACTGCTCCACTTCCAATTCAGCTCTCTGCTATGGCCTCAGAGAGCAGTAGAAGCTGGCACAAGTCCTTGGGCCCCTGCACCTGTGTGGGAGACCTGGAGGAAGCTGCTGGCTCCTGGCTTCCGTGAGTGCAGCTCCGGCCCTTACGACCAACTGGGGAGTGAACCAGCGGATAGAAGAACTCTCTTTCTCTCTCTCTCTCTCTCTGTCTCACTGCCTCTGCCTCTCTGTAACTCTTAAAAAAAAGAAAAGAAAACAGAGACGACTCAATCCCAAAAACTCTGATATGGGATGTGGATATCCCTAAAGGCAGCCATAATGCCCAAACTGAAAATATTTATACATACATAC